GATGTTCCTTATTCAGAGTAGTCCTTGAATTTTGTTCTGTTCTGGAGTTTTACAAATGGCATGTGTTCAATGGGAAGACGGCTGGATGGGACTTAATGGGAGATATTCTTACATACACTTAATTATCAGATATCTCTAAACTCTCATATGTAACATGGCTTGTGGAGATTGTTGAAGTATCAGTGTTTTGAAGATATACATTTTAGAACTTACCGACATAACACATAAATCAATCAAAAATGCCTGAAGCAAACTATTTATTGTCAGTATCGTGGGGCTACATAAAGGTAAGATTTATTGTGCCTTTGAAAACTCGTGATTACTGATTATGTAACTGATGGTTTTAGCAAATTAGAATGGTATCTAAGCTTTCTAAACATTTTATATTCTTCCCTTAGACATGAATTAGGAAATATGTATTTTTTAGTGTTTAAGTTTTTAATCAGATATAGTTTGCATGTTGAAATAGCATTTTGATATGTAGCAGTGCTTCTGTTTGTCATATGGCATAATTCTGGGTTGTGTTTTTAAACTTCAAGGTAATTACATTCATTGCAAATAAATTACTGGACTAAATAGCTTCTTCTGACTGGTTGATTCTGGCCAGGATGTAGCATTATATAGTTAATTTGTGGCTTTATCTAAACATCTCTACTATAACCTGATGAAGAATCTTTTTTCACCATTAAAGAGCTATAGATGGAATTAAAAACTAATATTACTTGATGATTTAACCAATATTTTGTTAAAAACTCGATTACCTGCTTGTAAAACTGAAAATTTATATGGTAATGTTTTACTAATTTCAAGAAAGAAATTAATTCACTGCATTTGATAAGATTGTGCCCAGGCTTGGCAGTTTTTGCCCTCCCTGGGATAAGGCTAGCATCGCCATCTGTTTCCATGGTGAAAGCCTGAGGTAGAAAAACCTTCAGTCAAATGAGGCATCACTTTAGAAAGTGAGATTTAGCTTTGGACATATGAGCCAATCACAACATATTTTTAAAGATTCATTTTTTTTCCATTACTTTGATGACTCTCAGACTGAAATTTCTTTTGTTTCATTTTGAAGGCAAATTTTACCTTTACTATTGTGTTTTAATTTGAAGAAAATTGAAATATGTATTTCAAAGTATGGTTGTCCAAGTCATGTTTTTTCATCTCCTTTTAAGTTTATGATTGGTTAGATTTTTAAAATGTTTTTAAATATGTGATTTTTCTTATTTGAATTCTAATAATTTCATGACCAAATATTTTTAACCCTAAGGTATATAAGAAGCACCTATAATGCCTCCTGAACTATCTGTTTAGCTTTTAGCCAACTCATATTTGATGCATTTTTGTAGGGCTTTGTGTTTATGTCTTGATTATGAACAACTCCTCCAAGGCTCTAAATGTAAAATTTTAGTATTTATCCCTTTGAGGAAAATTTTTGCTTGACAGTTTTGTGTAAGTTTTGATACTTACACCTGTAAAAACTTTGAGGAAGGGCTGACACAGATGTGTTTGACCTACATTTTAAAGGATTTTTATGAAACCAATGCAGTATTCATTTCAATAGCTTTTAATATCAATACCTATCAGACTTATAGTACATTGCAATATAACATATTAAATGATTTTTAGCAGAGAATTCTGGAGAAAATCAATAAGCTTTTTTAACCTTTTGATCTATGCCTCCTCTTTAAATATATACTAGGAGGATATGTAATACACACTGACATGATGCAAAATTACAAAGGATTGCTTTTCAGAGAATTTTATTAATATATTCTGCTTCTTCAGCAGTCTGAAGTACAGAACATAAATTAAAGAACTGCAGTTCCAAAATGCGGCATTCAGATTCAACTGCATTTTCACTTTATGCCTTAAATGCTATACATATTTTCTTGCATAGAGAACAAAGGTTTTGAAAGCATTCATGTACAAGTCTCCTCTTTTTTTCCTAGTCCCAACCATGATATCATATATTGTTTCCAATCCAGTTAGGCCAAAACCTATGAGAATTTCATAAGCAGAAAATATTTAGTGGTCACTTTTGAAAAAGTGCTAAATAAAATTATTCTGCATTCTATGAGTTTTTATGGAAAAGCAAGTCTATATTTTATCTCTTTTAAATCTATTAATGCAGAAACACTGTATAATGGTGTTCCAGGGAGATTGTATTAGCTTTTGAATTACCCTTTTCATCCCCACCCATGGTAATTTTTGTAGTTATCTTAATGAATGTTACATACTTTTCTCAAAATCTGAGAAATTCCACAGACACTTAAAAAAGGTTTAGGATATAGTTTTTTAGTACATCAGACAATATTTTCCAAAATCAATTCATAAAATAAAGTAGCAGTTGACAAGGCATCATATCATTGTTTTGGTTATTAATTTGGCTTTCCTAGATTGAAAGTTTTATATCAATGCCATAAGGTAAACGTTTTTAGTTCATTTTAGAAAGTACCTGTATGTTATAACTTAATTGACACTTGGAAAATTGTCTTTGGGAAATCCTGCAACCTTCTTCTGTTGGGAAGAGTAAGTTATTTTAAATATTATCTCTTACATTTATGTTACAATTAAATCTTGACTTCCTTGAAGCATTGTGCAAGCCTTGATAGGAAGACGTGTGTTATCAAGGATTTCTCTAACCATATTTTTGAGTTTTGAATGGAGAACAGGATAGTTGTGTAGGAATGATATACGTGATGCAGAAATAGTGAAATATGTAGTCTGTTATTTACTCAGTCCTCATAATAGATTTACTACCATTGATTACCATTTTTTGGTCTTTGCTATCTATTTTGATGAAATATAGGCAAACTGCTCAAAAAACTGTACTTCGTTCTTTATTGTCATCCAGAAAAAAAATCCAATTATTTGCATAGCACATCTATAGGTAACATGAAGAATCTTTCTTCTTGGGCATAAAACATGTTTTTCTTACCAGATGTTTTTCTTTACCAAACTAAAGGTCAAAGAGGCACTTTATTGAAGAGGTGTTTAAAATAGTTAACACACACTCTTCTTTGAATGTGTTTTGTCTAATGAATAGATTTTTTTCCAGGGATAAATTGTAAGGCATCTCTAAGGCAAGCATTTTCTTACCTGTGAGAGATTACACATGATATAATGGTTATGAAATACAGCCACATTTTTCTGATGAATGCTGCCCCAATGCTTTGTCCTTCATCTGTGTCTTGTAGTGATACAAATCAGCCATCAGTATAAAAAGGTCCAGAAGCCAAGAATTGAATGTTAGAAAGGGGACTAGGAGAGAGAGCTCAAATAGTATTGAGCACCTATTATGTCCCAGGTTAAATACAAGAAACTTTCATCTAACTGGTAAATAAGCGAAGAAAATGTAACTTGCGAAGATGGACAGAAAATATTTCAACACTGTTGTACATGTCTTTATGAATATTTTTAACCATTAAATTTCACATTTTTCCAGTAAATAGTAGTATATAATGTTAAAAAGAAGCAGAAACTCATGTTGGTACATATCACATGATGTCAGTATATGTACAAAGGTAGAAAAAGAAAAAAAAAATACAACCAAAATATCTATGGTTATCTTTGAACAGCAGAGATTTACATGGCTTCTTTTTCATGCAATCTTCTAGATTTTCTGTCGTATGCGTGCGTTTTATAATTAACAGGTTATGAAATCTATAAACAAAGAAAATCAAACACATATTCCTGGATTTGAGAGTAAGATCCCTAGAACTGTAAAGAAAAACTAGAACGTGTATTCATAGGTGCCAGTTCTTCATTTTTGACTGCAAGTGGATGCTAATATGCATTCATTAAATCCAACAGACAGTTGTTTGGGTTTTGTTGTTGTTACCTTTATTGTTTCGTGATTATAGTTAAATTTGTATGCCTAATTTAGATGGTCTATAAGATTGACTTTGGAAGAGATTTGTTAAACTGCTTTTGAATTTGGCATCTTTGTATTTTTGAAAATTCTAAATACACTCACCTTTCTCTTCCAGACTTAAATGAGAATTTATAGTGAAACTTAAATATTTCAAGGCTAGTAAAGATTGGACTAAAATGTGTTTGAATTTTATGGTTAAGTAATAACATTTAATATACTGAAAAATTGTTCCTGTGAGTTAAGAACACTACTAAAAGGTTTCTTAGTTGGGCTATTTGAGAATTAAAGGAAGACATTAGGAAGCAGCTGATAAGGAAATATAAAACCTGGGAGAATTTTTCAATATGGGAATGTCATATGCTGGTGTGGTAGATTGAATTCTTGTGCATCTTTGGATAAAATAGGCAGTGTGGCCTTAGAAAAATAAATTGTGAAGTAACGGGAATTTGGAAAGTAAACTTGATTTCTGTGTTGTGGCTTGAGAAATGGATTGGCAAATTCTCTGGATTCTGAAACCCATTAAATGTTATACTTCTTAATTGAAAAAGACAACTTTTAAAGGAAATATTATACAGAATTTACTCAAATAGTATATTTCTTCCTAATCCTGAAAAAGCATTCAGATAAATCTTTCCTTTTTCCCCTGGGTAAGAGACTAGATTGTAACCTTTGACCAGTACTATACATTAAGTTCTGGTAATTACAAAGTGGTAACACTGTACCATGTTGATTTTGTAGTAGTACTTTTGTGTTTATAAGTTGCAGTTTTCTTCTGTAAATGCTAATAATACCTCTTAATTTTTAAATTCTTTTTACCATTAATGTCGATGTCAAAGTCTGTGCTGTTTTTGGTAGCCACAAGATACTTGTGACTATTCAAATTAAAGATGACTAAAATTCAATGAAATTCAAAATTCATTTTCTCATTTTCATTAGCCGTATTTTAATATGTATGTGTACATAGTGGCTGTTGTCATGGACAGCAGAGATTATGGTGTTTTACCACCATGGCCTGAAAAGTTCTGTTGGATATTACTGCTCAAAATTGTCAGTGTATCTTCCAGTGCTTCAAAGTATGCTTAACATTTCCTCTTCTGTTAGTTCATTTTGCTTTTTTGTTTTTCAGTTTAAAAGGATGCTTAATCGGGAGCTCACTCATCTCTCTGAAATGAGTCGGTCTGGAAATCAAGTATCAGAGTATATTTCAAATACATTCTTAGGTAAGAAGAACACAGAATTTTGAATTTTCTTTAAAATTATTTTCTTGTTTTTGGAGGCAAACTGGAATGGTAGCTTATTTGGAAACCAGATAGATTTTTACATTCCATTTGTTTTTATTCTTTATGTGAATAATTTCAGACTGTATACCTCTAAAACTTAACAGTATGAGATGACAGTGTATTTTCATTACCTATTCATTTAGTGATGCTAGATACTAAGACCACAGTCTCATAAATGTTAAGCAGGTACTTTTCCTCTGAGCTGTGTCTCCAGCCAGTTTTTTTTTCTTTTTAGTAATAAACTGTAAAATGTATTTTTATATAGATATAGATTAATAGATTCTTTTCAAATGCCACAATAGCTGAGTGCTGTATATTTGATGGTAAATGAGAAATGGTCTCTGCACTTGATGACTGGAAAGTCTGTTGGACACTAAGCCTAACTATGGTGGGCAAAGACAGCACAACTGCTGGAGAAAAGTTTACTGGTAATACTTAAGAATACAGTGTCTAGGGACAGCCCCGCTGTCTCATTTGCAAAAATAAAATGCAATCAATGTGAGTCAGTAATTTGAATATCTTCTTTGTTTGGATTTACTTCAAACCACAATTTCCCTTAACAACTAATTAGTATGTGATTACATAGTGATTTATTGAACATATATCAGGTACACAGATGAATTAAGATTGCTCACTGCCTTCAGTGGTGGATGAATATACTGAGATATCTTATGTCTTTTACTGTAAGTAAAAAAGTAAGTGGTATATGTGAAAACTCACTTATTGAATAATAAGGGATGTTCTGTGGTCCCATAAAGCTTAGTCACATCACAGGCCTCATGTCGCTATAGTATAGAAATAAAAAGCAACAGAAATAAATCATTCAGAAACGCTGTTTCTGTCCCTACAATGTGACCTATTTTAGTTAGCTGCTAGGTTCGTACATCTCTATCTTGATTACATTTTTGTGTATGAAGTTTTACCAGGTTAAAGTCCATGTAGAAACTGAAGTCCTTTGTTGTGGCAAGAGCAATTTACAAGACACTAAGTAGATTTCAAACAAATACAGTTGGTAAACAGTGGCAGTAATGATGTGTTCTGCTTTCTGCAAACCTGTTGTCATAGGTCTTGCAAATTTTTTGTTAGTACGTTCTATCAGAAGGTAACCCATTGGGCACATTTTATATTAGTGACTTAGTGATTTGTGTTTTTTGTTTGCTATTTGCTTAACTTGATGTTTTGAAGTTCTCAAAATAAATCTACATCAAATTGTAAATACTCTACAGGGAAATGTATTACTTTGAAACATTTCCTAAAATACATAGTGAGCATTTAAACCTGTTTGATTTACTCATTATGATGGTAAAAACAAGTAGAATTCATAATAAATGTAGACCATTTTCCAAATTTCTTAAGATAAGCAACATGAAGTGGAAATTCCTTCTCCAACTCAGAAGGAAAAAGAGAAAAAGAAAAGACCAATGTCTCAGATCAGTGGAGTCAAGAAGTTGATGCATAGCTCTAGTCTGACTAATTCAAGTATCCCAAGGTTTGGGGTTAAAACAGAACAAGAAGATGTCCTGGCCAAGGTAAGATGATTTCAAAGAGCATCTACTATATGTACAAAATGATGCCTTTTACATAAGTGGAAAATTCATTACTGTATGTGGCTTTCTTTTTTTGAAGATGGAAACATACTTTATAAAGCTCTGCAAATTATTTAAGTTTTAGTAATGTATAGAGTTAATAGGGGGGTTGGTATTGGTATCTTTCTTCTTTCTCCTTTGCAACTTTATTGTTGTTTGATCTTAGAAGTCTACTACCTCTTCTGGATCTTAGAACAATATAGTTTCTGTGTGTAAATTTTATTCACTAGAGAAGTCCTGTAAATTGATATTCAAAGTATGTGACCCTGATGTGTCGTCCAAACCATCAAGTACTAATGTTCAGTTTTTAGTATATTTAAGTGAATTTACCTAAAGTTTATCTTACTTAATGCTACATGTATTACATTTAAAATCCTTATTTGAAATAATTTAATAACCATTTTTGCGTTGAAGCCAGTAATTTTAAATGCTGTGTTGTGCCCCACTCTTAATTTTCGGTATCTTCCTTCAACCTTAGGAACTAGAAGATGTGAACAAATGGGGTCTTCATGTTTTCAGAATAGCAGAGCTATCTGGTAACCGGCCTCTGACTGTTATCATGCACACCATTTTTCAGGTAATGGAATTGACTTCTGCCATGTTAAATTCAGGACTTGCTGTCTAGATTGTGGATTGTGTGTATATTTTGTCTTCCTTAATACTCACCCTTCTTTGCTTATTTGTATACTTTTTAAGTTCTTATTTGCTCCTTTATCAAGGGGCAAATAAAGATACAGAAAGGTGGAATTTTTTTATCTTTGTTCCAAAGCAATCTACTAAAACAGTAGTTTAAAAATCATCTCCATGACCCTGACTTGCATAGATAATAGAAGAGATAATCTCGGACTGTAATTTTTTCAGTCTGTTTTTTGGCATTGTGCTGTGTTTTCCATATCCATGTGGCATTCTTGTGGAGCTGTACCGCAGCTCGGAGAGGATTTAAATGAGAATTTGAGATTGTGGCTGATGCCTTCAGGTGGAGTAGGAAGCTATGCCCCTCATGCAAGTGTTAAAGTTCCACTGATGTGACATGGACTGGCCCACGGTGCTCCTCTGCAGCACCTGCTTGACCAGGCACACAGGAACCTTCAAAGTCCACAGTTCATTCCTGACTCCACCAGCTTTGATACAGCATCCTCAGCATCTAAAATGGCAGCTCTCATATATTGTTTTACCTCATTTTCGGGATCTGGAGCTTCCAAAATGTTTTCATTTCCCTCAGGAGACATGTAAAAGTACTATTTCCATTTCTGGATTATCTTTAGAGAACACTGATATGTGATTTGTTGTTTGTTTGTAGAACCTCTTTTTGTTTGTTTTTATAAAGACAAACATGTTAATAGGATTTCTTTTCTTTCAGGAGCGGGATTTATTAAAAACTTTTAAAATTCCAGTAGACACTTTAATTACATATCTTATGACTCTGGAAGACCATTACCATGCTGATGTGGCGTATCACAACAACATCCACGCTGCTGACGTTGTTCAGTCTACTCATGTGCTATTGTCCACACCTGCTTTGGAGGTGAATTTCTTATCTAGAATTTCAAGAATACTAATTTGCGATTCATAAAGGTCTCTTAAACCTTTGTGAACTGAAGAGTTTGCAATGAGAACAACAGTTGGCTTCATGGGAAGTATATTGATTAATAGAGGAAAAAATGTTAATAAACAGTTGAATGATGAATTTTACCTGTGAAAGCTGGTCAGGGATTTAGGGATTTGTCTGTAATAGTGCTTTTTCAAAATGATCCAGTGGACATTTCATAAAGCATGTCCAGCTTTTAGACTATTGGTCGGTTTGTTTTCTTGAAATAGTCTGGTGAATTCTATATTTTCATTTCAAAGAATTTGATATTAATCTGACCATTAAGTGTAAGGAATACATCATTTCCTGTAAAATTTACTAGAAAATGTCTTAGTTTCTTTTCTTGTTCCTGAGATGAAATACCTGACACCCAAAGTTAAGGGAGGAAAGGTTTGTTTAGGTCACAGTTTGTAGAGGTTTCAGTCCCTAATTGGCTGGCTCAAGGACAAGGGAACTGGCAGAGGGGTAAAAGTTCATGGCAGCACAAACAGCAAAAATAACAAGGGAGAGGAGACAAGACTCTGTCTATCCCTTGTACTCTGTTGGCTGCCCCTGGTAGGGCAGGTGTTGGTAGGGCAGGTGTAGCACACTCACTCCCTTAATCCTAGTCAAAACTATGCCAACCCAGTCAGCGGAGTGATTTACTAATCACACATTCTTAATCCCAGCATCACATACTATAGATTCAGCAGCCTTTGAAACATACCCATGACTGCATAAGGCTTTCAGGGGACATCAGGACACAAACCATAATAGAAGGGAATACTTTAATGTCTCCAAATTGAAAGTTGTTCCAGTGTTTACTAAAACAATTTGATTTCCATAATCGTTTGAGGGAATAGATTTTTTTCTGTATAGTTTGGATTTGTTTTCATTATAAAATTGTGATAAAGTGTCACATGGGTGAATGGTTAGCCACTTCCTTTTTTAATTCCACCATTTAGCAGAGACATTTGACAATGTCTGGAGACATTTTTTCGCTGTCACAATGATCATGTTTTTGGTTATACGTGCTACTAGCATTGTGTGGGTAGAGGCCAGAAATTCTGTTAACAATCCTAAAATGTACAGGACAGTTTGCAAGAAAGTGTTACTTGGCACAGAAGTGTCAGTAGTGCTGAGCCTGAGCATCTCTGGTTTAGATGGAAGAAAATAATAACTCTTGTCTTAATTTTATGTACATCCTCAGATTATTATTAAACATAAAATACTTGTAAAATATTTTGTTTCTTAAATTATTTTTAAAAGTTATACTTAAAAAGTTGGTAGATCTCATTCTGTAAGCCTTTAATACATCATGGTATATTGTAAGAATTTATTTTTTATCTGAGTTTTAAAAAGTTATTTCTCAATTGTTTATATTTTTCCATTATAGAACACTAATTTATTATTCTTTTTTCCAGGCTGTGTTTACAGATTTGGAGATTCTTGCAGCAATTTTTGCCAGTGCAATACACGATGTAGATCATCCTGGTGTGTCAAATCAATTTCTGATCAATACAAGTAAGCAAAATTCATCTGTTTTTATAAGACAGTTTTTTTCTATCTACATTTGTGAGTGGCTGAAAGTCTTTATAAACTGTGGTCCTTCCCGAGTTATGTTCTTTAAAGATGTATAAATGTTTTAGTGGTATCTTTCAATGTAATCTGTCTCTGAAAATTACCATTAGTTCCTTTAAGGCATATGATGTTTAAAAAACATGTATGAGAACACTTCTGTAAAAACAGTGCATTGCTGTTCCTAGACAGGAATAATCAAAAGTGCGAATATGTACAACGATTTGAGTATACTGCCTGTAAAGTTTTAAATGAACAAACACTATGGGAGTGAACAAACATTTTCTTACCTTGTGTAGATCATCATTTAATTCCCTTCAGAAGCTGTTGCTCATCTTTTTCTCCTTTTAAAATTTGTCAATTATCAAGACTTCTCTTTTAATTTAATGTTTTAGTCATTTGATTTTTTTTCCAACTGGTGCCCTCTCACCATAAAATTAATTTGGAAATGTAAGCAATGATGGATACTTCAAGATGGTTGTCTGTGACATACAGCAAATTTCTGTAGAGAATGTGTAGGTAATGCTTGACCTCAACCTTTATAAAGTGCTTTAGAGTCACAGAAATTATCTGGTACTTGAAGGTGACAGAGGGGTGACAAGTGTACTATGAGCTAATCCTTTCCCATTATGGTAGATTATTATTTTATATGTGAAAAATGCAGTTATTAAAAATTTTTTTCATATTAAGACTAGATTTTTTTCACTGTTTGAATTTGTGTAAATTTTTCTTGTGCACTAAAGCAGTCCAGCTACACAGTAATAGATGTTTATTTACCATATACTTCATACTTTGCCATAGCCAGATTTAAAGAGATAATTTAAATATAATCTTGCTTTGAGAGATTTAACTCAGATATCTAGGACTGTTTAAATCTATTTTTATGTCTTTCATTAGCTTTCATACTCTGCTATAACAGCAAAATTTAGAGACTTACTCATATAGAAAAGGCTTGGAAAAGTCAAGTGTTTCCTGAGATGTGTGGTTAGTTGAGTGCATTTTAAAAGTGTGGTTTAGAAACTTGTTTATGCGGGTTGGACAAGGTATTTCATGTTTCATCCACCTTAGAAAACTCATAATGGGCACTTTCAGGATTATCAAAACACATAAGTATTAATACACATTGGATGCCACTTCCTGAGTTTGCATTGTGTCTGGTGTTGGCTGTTTCCTAAGAATAGCAGGCAGGTCATACAGTACAGTGTTATACAATGTATGCTGGAACTTTCTACCCCTGGCCTGATTTAGTATTTTGATGGTTATGCATTTTTTTAGTATGTTAATATTACATATTTTTAACAGATACATAAAAATGTTTTAAGTTTGATATTAAGAAAGACATTGTTTTTGTTTTAATCAGAAACACTGAGTATAAAAAAAAAAAACACTGAGTATTCAGATTGGTATATTTTCTTTGCATTCTGTTATTATACAGTACCAGTAGTAGGGAATCCATGGCACGCATGACACAGCTAGCTATTTGTTACCTTTGAAATCTCTAAAAGGTTCATCATCATTGTACTATATGTTCCTTTATTACAGCACTAAATGTAAGAATAGAAAAAAATGGAAATAACTAATAATAAAGGCCATTGTTTTTAAGTAATGTAATACATTTTTAAAGGATAATAAGGACTGATTTTATTTTTTTCTTGTGAATCCTCCAGGGGCAGTTTGACTTAGGTTATCCCCTAGAGGATGCCGGTGAGCATTAGGGCAGCTATGGAGCCTGTCATTTAAAGTAACACAGCCCTAGTCCACAGATAAATTTAATAGCCTCTAAAATTTGAGAGATACTAAATATGGAGGGACAGGCATTGAGGGGAGGGCAGAGGAATATAAAGAGAAATAAGAAGTGTTACATACGTGCACTAACTCCCCACAAGGAATATATGTACTGCAACTATGCACCAATAAAAACTTAAAAAAAATTGAGAGGTACTGATGTGGGTAAAAGAGACATTTGAGAAATGATTAGAAACACAAAGACAGTGGCCAGAGATGTCATTTTTCTAGTAACCTGCCTCACTGGGAAGATAACTCATTCTGCTTATGGAAGCCTAGCAAGCCAAAGCATAGTAAGAGTGTACTTTTTACCCTTGCTATTGGCTCCACCCCACCCTGTGGAAATTCTTACCATTACATAAAGACCCAATCATTTTTTACCCCCGTGCCATGTCGTTTAAACAGGCTGTTCCTTTGCCAGTATGTTCCCCTTTTCCCTCCTGTTTTCCCCTCTTAGATTGAGAGCCACTACAAGTATATTTATAGTCAGTTGCCACTGTGTCTCTATCCAGTGACAGTTTGCAGAAGAAACTGTGTATGTTATCAGGAACCCACATTTCTATTATGTTAATAATGTCACATAACCCTCACCACAGTTCATGCCGGTGGTTCTTACTTTACAGTTAAGAACGAAAGAGGAGAGAGTATGCTGACTTCAAAGCCATACTAAACTCATGATCATTTCATCTCAAACACTGATTTTACAATATCACAAAGCTGATATAATGCATATGGATTTAATTCCTAAAAGTGTGTTTTATTGAGCAGATAAGCGGAGATTATATAGAATATACTTTTATTTACATGCTATGGGATGGTCAATTTGTGATTTGACCCTATGTTTCTCTTAGCATAGAATACCTGCCTTTTTATAGAAGAAAAGCTTAAAATGTTTTAATAGTTAAGCTTTTATAAAAGTATTTCTTCTAAAATAGAAACAATATGAAAAGTAAAGAAGATAGTAAAAATCATCCAAAATTCTTCCCTGGAAGGTGTTGTTCTCACTGAGCACCATTTATACTTCTCTCGAGGTATTATACACAGGCACAGGGACAAATTGGAGAGATGTAGAAACTCAAATGTAGGGATTTTCCTGTCTTGTTGTTTGCTCAGTAGCCTAGCTTGCATAGTTTAGTTCAATTAGCTTTAGTCCTATTAGTGGATACTAAAGTTGTTTTTTTGTGTGTGTTATTTTCAACTTGTATGATAAATCTTAATTTTTTTAATTTTAGGTATTGGTATATAGATGCTGTTTATTTAGTCCTCCAGAAAGCTTACACATTTTTACCAGCAGTGTGCCCTTTCCTCATACTCTTGCTAGCTCTGGTTTTTTTTTAATTAAACTTTTAAGAACAATTATAAATTTGTTGGTAAAAAATTGAGTTTATTTTGCAGGAATATTTCTGAAGTTACTTTCTTATTATTTGAAAGTAACCTATAATAGTCTAAATAGTTATTTTCTTGTACATAAATTGTGATCTAATCAGTAAGAATTTGCCAGGTACCTACTGCTTGCCCTTGTGTGTGAAGTACTGGACTGATACTCAAGAGAAAGCGCATCTCCAAGAGCTAACGCTCTTAAGAGCCTATGAGAGTTAATTTTATATATCAGCTTGACTGGGCTGGTAACTTCCCTGAGAGCTGGTAAAACATGATTCTGGGCTAGTGCATGAGAAAGTTTTGAGAAGAGACTGGCACTTGAAGCAGACTGAGCAGGATCTCGTGTGAGGGGCTGACATTCAGGCCACTGAGTACTCGAGAGTAGATAGTCCTGCTGTCTCAGTTTGAGCAGGGACATCCGACTGCTGCTCTCAGACACAAACACTGTTGACTCATGTGCCTTCAGACTTGAACTGAGACTTAAACATCATTAACCTTCTCCTCTCCCACTCCCTCCCATTCTCTTTCTCAGGCCTTCAGCCTGGTACTCTTGTAGACTGGGTTATAATTTATATACATTAAAATAACTTCGTTTTAGAAGGGTTGTCACTAAAGGCTACTTCTAAAATATGGGAGAGTAATGTGATACTTCCAAAATATTACTGAAAAATAAAACCAAAAAGCCTGATTAAAAAACCCAGACCTGGCAAAAGTACAAGAGAAAGGCATACTATACATAAAAATGTGTTTATGTTTTCTGGTTTTCATGGTTCTCTGTGTTCTGGACTACAAGTCCTATAATTTTTTGGCTTCCATAATCACCTTAGCCAATTCCTGAAATAAATATATGTGAATATATATCTATGTCTTATGACTACTGTATTAGTATTGTGACTAATACAGACTTTAGTTTTGAGACTGGTTATAAAGTAACAGAATTCTAAGATGAGTTTCTAAACTTGTTCTGCAGTTTTCAGGATTAGCTTCGTAATCTCTGTAGATCTGAAGATACTATTAGTTTCAGTAGAGAAGAGAAAACACTTGTAGTCCATAGTGTGAACTTTTTTAAGAGACACACAAAATATCCATTGTATTCTTAACGAGTTATGAGATGCAAAAATATAACTGAGCCTGTACATGAAACCTTCAATATTTTTAGAAAACTCAGGAATCTAATGACATTGCTTGGTCATGTCTAATGTCACTGGACCAAAAAGGAAATAAAAGAATGAGGTCAGGAACTGGAATTTCCAGATGAAGCACAGCATAAGTGGCCAAAGTATTTCTAGGTGTGTCAGAAAGAGTGATTTCTCAGTAGAGCTAAAATTCCTGAAAATCAAAGGTAGAACTTCAACCTGGAATTGGCTGAATTGCAATGCAAAGTGAACTCCTATTTTGTAGAGTATCTATTGTTCAAGCTTAGAGAATAGAGTAGCAAGGAAAATCCAGCTAAAAATCAGAAGCTTTCCTACCTTAGCAAAATTCTAAGATCCCAGTGGTGTGTGATATTATTTCTTCTAAAGTGAAAGCTTAAATTGTTGTATTTGTTCTCTTCTACAAAGCAAAAAAGAGGCACAATTACTAGCAGGCCTGGGTTTTAGGGACATCTTCCACATTCAAGTATGTTACTCTGCCCCATTTGCCAAGTGACCTGAAAAACTGTTAATTTTGAATGGATCCCAAAATAATAGAAAGCAACTCTGCAACAGGGCCAGGCCGCTCTGCTGCTGGAGCGCTTTGATTCTGCAGATCCAGTCTTGCTCAGTGTTGGGAGCCATTAGGGATGCCTCAGAGGTGAATCAGGGCACACACATTCAGTTTAGAGAAATGCCTGCCATCATCTCAAGATAACTACTTTCCTTTTGAGACAGCTTAGTAGACCACACTGAGTGTTTGACTGTGGTCCACCCATATGACATAGGCTGCCCATTGTGAACTCTTAGCTACCAAGTCACAAAGGTGATCTTTCATGTTAACACTCTAACGTCACATGGTAGTGATATATACAGGATAGTCCCCAAGCAGACTGAAGGCTCAAGTAATTTTCAGGAAGTGGCCCAAATGTTTGTGGTTCCGTCTCTTACTCTACTGTTTTCTTACTCCTACATGCACTTGTAGTCTTACAATTCTTTAAAACCAATATTGAGAAGGCTTGGTCGATAGATGGTCCTGTACAATATACAGTTACTACCCACATGTGGACAACTGCAGCAATGTTGACCTTCTCTGATATCCCTTAAAGGCCAGTTAAGAGGAGAAACCTTAGTGGGAAAAACTGTGGGCAATACACTTTGCTTAGAAGAAAGCAGGTCCAGATATATGATTATACAGTAGTCATGGATCATAGCCAGTGGTTTGGCTGGATGCTCAGTGACTTGGTACAAACATGCTTAGACAAGAGGTATGTGGATGAATGTCTCTGAATGGGAAAAAAAGAAGGGGACATATTTGTGTATCATGTGAATGTTCACCCACGGGTGGCCTCAGCAGAGAAGAGCTTTGATAATCCTGTGGCTGGGATGGATGATCTATTCTATAGATATCAAATAGCCTCTTTCCCTAGCCATCACTGTCACTGTCTAATGGACTCATCAACAAAGTGGCCATGGTGGCAGGGATAGAGGTCACACATGGGCTGAGCAAATACAGACTTCTGTGCAGGGCTGACTTAGCCATGGCCTCTTGCGAGTGCACAGTTTGCCAGCAGCAGAGACCAGCATTGAGCCCCCATGTTGCACCATTACCTGGAGTCATGGATCAGCTACCTGGTGGCAAGCTTATTACATTGGGACGATTTCCATAATGGAAAAGGCAACATTTTATCCTTAGGAGAATAGGTGCTTTCTCTGAAAACAGACTTTCCTTCCATGCAGACAAGGTTTCTGCCAAAACTAGCATCCTTGGATTAAGAGAATACCTCATGTGCTGACTTGGTATCCCATACTGCATTGCTTCTAGCCTGAAAATTCACTTCATAACCAAAGAAGTACAGGCATAAGTCCATGATCATGGGTTTCACTGATCTGTGGTCCCCACAGTCCTAAAGCAGCTGGCCTGAAAGAATGGTGGAATGGCCACCTGAAACCTTCATTATAGCACCAGCTAGGTGTTTGTACCTTGCTAGGCTGAGGTAGAGTTTTTCAGATCACATATGCTCTCAGTTAATGTTCAGTGCCGGCTGCTGTTTTTCCTATAGCAAGGATTCATGGATCCAGGAATCAAGAGTAAGAATAAAGTAAATTATGCCCAATGTAATACTACTGATGCTGGCAAGAAGACCGACTTTATTCATGTGCTCTTTCCTTCTCAGTTAATGTTGGATGTGGAGAGTGGGCAGGTTCCACCACACAGCTGAGAACATGTGCTTCATTCCATTTTCCCTCTTGATTCTTGGAAGCATCCTGGCAGAAGTACATGGCTGAGGAAAGCTGCCCACCTCTTAGCATCCAGGGACCAGAGAGAAAAAGCCGCCTTTAGTGTGTCCTATCTCAGCCAGCAGCCTGTTGGTTGTTGCTGTGCACACTCAGAGGAGGCCCTCCTGCCTCAGTTTACTGTTCACCTGCCAGTCATCTCTGGAAGCACCTTCCCAGACATACTCCAAATTATGCTTGTTAGTGGCTTTTCAGTTCAATCAAGTTGACAGTCAAGATTAACCTAAGTCTTCAAATAAGCTGAGGAGATTTGGGGAAGAACTTTTAAGAGATTGGTACAGAGTTAGGACTGATAAGGGAAAAGGTGATAAGTAAATATTTAACTCACAGGAGCAAGTATGCAATTGTTTTGTGATAATAAGAGAAGGCTTCGGTGACGTGTACTTAAAGATGAAAGGGTTTCAGCACAAACAGTGTATAAGCAAGCATCTCCACCCTCCTTTGCTGAAATGAACATTGAACCAAAGTGCGATTTGTTCATAAACTTTCAAGAACTCCTGTTTGAAGTTTTAGATTAGCATCCTTTGTGGAAATTGACTGAGAAGCTACATAATATGACTATCTCTTTTAAGAAGTGTGACTATATATCTTTAATCTTAAAGATAAGTAGAATATTAAATGACTACCCTGAGATTCAAGTTTTTAAACGCTAACATTTGTTCCTTTAAAAACCCAACTAATACCCCTTCACACATTTTTGTGACAGAGAGACTAAAGAGATTGTAGAAACCAACAGTTCAGCAAGGAATCACTTTTTTTTTTTTTTTTTTTTTTTTTGTCTTTCTGGTCAATCTGGACTCTTTCTGAAGAGAGAGCCACTTTCCAAGCAGGCTTAGCGGCACCCTTGGACATCTTCACATTTTGTGGGCCTCCCTGTGCACCTTCCCCCACTGCAGGCCTCCACCTGCTTGCAGCAGCAGCTCTCAGCCTGCTCTTTTTCAGGCTCAGTAACTGTTATTTCTGGTATCTATCTTTACGGGGCACATCATACAGTTAGGGCCTCTAGTTGTCCTGAGGATACCTTTATCTGCAAACGTATTTACTTCTTTAAAAGACACTAGTAGATGAATTCAGCATTATTTTCCCAGTTAGAAAACATGCCTTCCTTTTATTATAGGTGTATTTAATACGATTCTTCTATGAAAATACATGTAAGATCCTACATAGTTTCAGATTTTTTATTGTTAACATATTTTATCCATCCTTGAAGCCTTTATATTTTATAGACAATTTAAAAGTAAGACTTTATAAACAAATCAAAATTACCTGCTCCTTTAAGCATTCCTGCTTCTAAAGGATAGGAGCCAAAATTTAGATGTACCAATTTTTATTGGTATAGTTCTAATAAAATCATAGGCTTTCTCAGTAGATACGGGTCCTGAGCCACTCCTGAGCTCCTTCAAAGAAGTGAGTGACGTTGGGCACTTCTCCAAGTCTATGTTTGTGAGTTAGTCAGAGGACCAAGCGTGTGTGCTTTTAGCCTTTCCAGTGACATGTGGAAACAGTAAAGCATGAAAGTTTCGTTTTTAATGACTACTTTCTAAATCTGGATCTGCTAATGATAGGACTAGCGATAAGGCAAGATCGCTTTCTGCCCGACATGTAGGTCCAGGGCAGTATGAGAGAATGGTGCAGGCTCCACCTGCGGGTGTAACAGCTGGTACAGCATCTCTATGCAAATTCATGAGCAAACAGGTAGAAAGTGAAATTTGCTTGTGTGTGATGAACTGCCAGGATACTTAGGTGAGGAAATGGAAGAAAATGAATAAAGCTTAGAAATTCTGCATCCTGTGATCCTTGTGTTACATAAATTGCAGAGTAGGTAATCTAGAGTTATCAGGACAGAAGCCTTACCTTCTGCAGATGTTAGGAACAATGCCATAGTCTACTGAATTAATAGCAGATCTTAAGAGTGTAAAACCCATGTGGTTTGTCTTTCACCTCAAAAGCAGTGGAGGCCCACAGGGTAACATGACCTGCTGCATGTCAGGAGTGAATTCTAGTGCTCCCAAGATTCCAATGCTCTTTCTGCTCTTACATTACCCAATACATTGTTTCTCAGATATTGTTGTATAATGGTAAAGATGTTAGAGAAGGTTAAGGTAAGTTGGTCCCAAACCAAAAGTATCATACACGTTAAAGAACAAAATGTACTTCTGATTGAGTGGTTTAGTGATCTCCTGTCATTTTCTTTCAGACTCTGAACTTGCCTTGATGTACAATGACTCCTCTGTCTTAGAGAACCATCACTTGGCTGTGGGCTTTAAATTGCTTCAGGAAGAAAACTGTGATATTTTCCAGAATTTGACCAAAAAGCAAAGACAGTCTTTAAGGAAAATGGTCATTGACATTGTAAGTAACTATAATGCAAGACAAAGGGGAAAAAGTTACCATGGTGTAAGTTGCTTCAAGAAAATATAAAAATGAGATGAATCTCAAATAAAAGGAAGTACGTTTTCAAACCTATTATTGCCCTTTCAGTTCTAGAAGCTGCCCCTGCACTAGTGTTCCCGAATTAGTTTTCTACTTCAGCAGTTTGGATTGAAGTACCATGATTGAAGTTTTACTTCAAGCTCCTTTTGACAGGCGGGAGGTAGAGAAAGATGAATAAGCAGAGAGCACAGGACATGAGCTGCAGTTCAGATGAGTTTTTCCACCAGTTCATGACTTCACAGTGACTTTAAGACAAACCCCTGGTTATTCAAAAATTCCCTTAAGCTTTGTACATAATACAGGCAGCCAAACATGGTTGCCTGTACATAATACAGGCAACCAAACATGGTTGAAGTGATTTGTGAACATCCGTGAGTCAGTTCATTAGAGTCCAACAGCCACTTTTCAAAGAGTGAAGTAAACCTCAACCTAGCCACACAGATCTCAGCCCTTTTCTCACGGTGAAAGTGGTGGTCAATGCCTTATGCTCCTGGAATTTGAGCTTCCAGAAGCTTTTCTGAGCTTCCAGAAAACTTGGTGGGAAAAGACTGCCTGAGGAGGATTAATTTCCATCTGTCATTGGGTGTCATAGTAGTTTCTTCCAGTCCTTAATTACCATGTGCAATTCTGACTTTTTTCCTCTGGGCTTTATTTAATAAAATATTCTTTGCCTTTTAAGGTACTTGCAACAGATATGTCGAAACACATGAATCTACTAGCTGATTTGAAAACTATGGTCGAAACCAAGAAAGTGACAAGTTCTGGGGTTCTCCTTCTTGATAACTATTCTGATAGGATCCAGGTAAATCCTTATTGTATTCTTGTCCTGTGTGTGTGTTCAACTTTAATAAGGTATTTTCTTTCTCCCATGTTACACTTTTAGTAACTGTAAGCAAGATTTTTACCCACGTTCTTATTGCTATAAATTAACAAGTTAAAACGTTGTTGGTCTTTTCATTTGCATACACATTTTTAAAAAATACCCCAGGAAAGAAAACCAGCCATTTAAAGTAGCTCTGAATGTAATCTACCATGTACATGCACAGTTTCTCTTATGATACTTAGATGCAGTAGAAGTGGCATAATTTGGAACTATTAATACAAGTGTGAACCACACAGAGACACATCATGGTTGAGCTACTTGGAATAAATCTTACACTACATGTATTTTTAAGTATCACAGTCATCCAATGTGAATTTCTAGCTTAAAAAAAAGAGCAGGTGCTGAATAGAGAATGCCTCTATCTATTTTAGGTCCTGCAGAATATGGTGCATTGTGCAGATCTGAGCAACCCAACAAAGCCTCTCCAGCTGTACCGCCAGTGGACAGACCGGATCATGGAGGAGTTCTTCCGCCAGGGTGACCGGGAGAGGGAGCGTGGCATGGAGATAAGTCCCATGTGTGACAAGCACAATGCATCCGTGGAAAAATCACAGGTAACGCATGACTGAGTCCATACAGCTTTGGAAGAGATCAGAGCTACAGCTGTAGCATTTATTTATACAGTACTCACATCTGACAGTGTTTCATTAGCAAAATTACTTCATTTTAATAAGGCCACTTTTACCTTAGTGTTTAGAATCCAAAAATTTTCATCTCTGTCATACTACATTCATCAACTCTTCTAAAATATGGTCCAGGCTGTAAATACCCTACCGTGTACCATGTAAATATACTCTTGAAATCAGTTCCAGAAGCTAACTTTCCCCAGTGGGTAACAACACGTGAATGTGATCTGTTGCCTGGAGTAGTGATTATTTTGCCCAACTAAGGTTAGTAGTTCTGTTTAGTAATTTATATGTGGACTAGGACCTAGTTACCCTTTCCCATTGTGCTGGTGCTGTTGGACTATTCAGACTGATTTTTTTTTTAACCTAGGTGGGCTTCATAGACTATATTGTTCATCCTCTCTGGGAGACATGGGCAGACCTTGTACATCCTGACGCCCAAGACATTTTGGACACTTTGGAGGACAATCGTGAATGGTACCAGAGCACAATCCCTCAGAGCCCCTCTCCTGCACCTGATGAGCAAGAGGAGGGCCAGCAGGGCCAGACTGAGAAATTCCAGTTTGAACTAACTTTAGAGGAAGATGGTGAGTCAGATACCGAAAAGGACAGTGGGAGTCAGGTGGAGGAAGACACAAGCTGCAGTGACTCTAAAACTCTGTGTACTCAAGACTCCGAGTCCACTGAAATTCCGCTTGATGAACAAGTGGAAGAGGAGGCAGTGGGGGAAGAGGAAAGTCAGCCTGAAGTTTGTGTCATAGACGACTGTTCTCCTGACACGTAACATTGCAGACTCACTTTTTTTTTTAAAGTAGAAAAATTGTTTCCAAAGTGCATGTCACATGCCACAACCATGGTCACACCTCACTATCATCTGCCAGGACGTTTGTTGAACAAAACTGACCTTGACTACTCAGTCTGGCGCTCAGGAATACCGTCTCCAGTTTCTTCACCTCCATGTCATCAGAGTAAGAGGGACATCTTCATGAACAGCATTTTAACATTATTTCAGCTTGGTCAAGCTGACAAAGCAGATAAAATCCACTCCAAAATATTTCCAAGGGAGCGTGGCTCATCAGGCAGCCCAAAAGTGTTTTGGATTCAGAGTTACTTGCTTGCAATATTTTCTGGAGAAAGACGGCGTTACATGGAAGACGTGAACTTAGTGGATAAAGCAGCAAACATGTCAGGAACGGAATGCAGCATGAATCTGTTCCCAGAAGAGACAGGAGCCACAGAAATTGCATAATTTTCTAATTTCCAGTCTTCCTGATACATGACTGAATAGTGTAGTTCAGTGAGCTGCACTCACCTCTACATTTTGTATGATATGTACAAGATTTTTTGTAGAGCTTACTTTTATTAAATGTATTGAGGTATTATATTTAAAAAAAACTATGTTCAGAATTTCATCTGCCACTGGTTATTTTTTTCTAAGAAATAACTTGCAAGTTTTCAGTACAAATCTGTGCTACACTGGATAAATCTAATTTACGAATTTTACTTGCACCTTATAGTTCATAGCAATTAACTGATTTGTAGTGGTTCATTGTTTTATATACCAATAACTTCCATATTTTAAAACAGAATAACAACTTTATGTTGCTGGAAAGCCTTTTTATAAGTCTTTATTTACTTTGCTTTTTTATTTCACCCTTTTCCAATAAGCAGAATTGCTCTCCACCGACATTTTTCTTCATGGTGTGCAAAGTGAATATTTGTTCTGTAATACCTTAATGTGCGTTATGTCCAGTGTCTTAAGCCTCACAGAAATATCAGTGGGTGTTACCCGAAGCAAATGGAAGATTATATAAATACCCTGTAGTTAAAACAGTCAGTCTTTTTTAGATATTTTCCTACTTAGTGTCTTCTGATGACTTTTTACTGTCTATTGCATTTCACAAGTGCATGTCCTTGTAGTAACACACACATTTCATGTTCATTTTTGTTTTTTACAGTCAGAATATGAAAAATGTTTTTCTCTTGTGCTACTTTAATGTGTGCTTGAATCTCTGTTCATGTTTGCTAGACAAGGTCTTACCAGATACATCTATCTCTGCCATTCTAATTGATGAAAAGGAGTGGTAATAAAATTAGGGGCAGGATTTGTTTCTACCCGAGGTTGACCATCATCACTGGGGTTTACTGTGGGGTTACAAACAAACGTTAACAAAAGTTAACAGCTAACCAGGTAACGTTTAAGAATATCAAACACCAGTATGATTTCCTTCTATTATTTCACCATGGATGGGAGGCTGTATGGAGAATATCCCCAACACAAACTTTTAAGTTAGCAGCTACTCTTTCTTAGCAGAGAGACGTGCAGCTTGTAGGAACTGCTTTCTCACTGACTGACCCGCAGCATGTGTTGGAGGAGGGAACTATTTCTTCTAGCGCACAGGGTGGAGCAGTTGATGTGCCCACCAGCATCAGTTGGTTGGTAACGTCTACAATACTGGATTAGTAAAAGTACTCTGCCTAAATAAAAAATTAGCAATCAGTAAAAACTCCCCATCGGTTTTAGCATTAAAAACTGTATTGCAGTTTTAGAGATAAGTTACCAGTGTCTATCTGCTGTTGGCAGTTGATACCATGGGCTGTTTAACGTGGACTTTATTAATAACTGACGTGGAAATAAAGAGTTTACCTCCTGTGTGAATAATTTGGAACCTACATAATCCTTTTTTGCATTAATAGCTAATAAGTGAGTTAGGACAGAAGGGATATCCACCTATGTTGAAGGTAAATAAAACATTTAAGAAAAATTGCAACCCTGAAGAAATTTGTAATTTGAATTTCTCAAGAGCATTTTGGGGCCAGATAACTAAGTCATCAGTCAAGGAAATGACTGAAGCTGAACATAATTCTATTTTAAGATCCAGCTGATGCTTAGCATCTTTGATAGAAAAATTCTGATTTTTTTCTTTTACATAGAGCAGAATGGGAATTAGCCAATTACTGAGTTGGATTGCTGCCCCCTTTTTCCCCTGTAGAAACCCAAAAGGGTAAAGTAGAAACCTGTGTTTGACCAAATGATTTCCCGAGAACATTTGGGAATTTGTTTTAATTGTATCTGTTCCTGAGGGAAGTCTAGAAGAAAAAAAAACAAAGGGTTGAGGGTTTCTCTTTCCAAATTATTCTCATTCCTTCCCATGCCTACACATGGTATTTCCCCCACAGAGTGCCTGGAACTCTCATCAGCAGCAATATGTCATAAACAGATCTTGATATGAAAGGGTTTGTAACTGCACTAAAAGAGACTTTCCAATTTGTTGGTTTTTAATGGTACCAGGTTGTAAAGATACTTGCCGATGGACAATCAAATTGCAGAAAAGACATAATATCCAAGAATTAGGGACTGATGCACTTGGCAATCTCTTTACCCTCTCCCTTCTCTCTTGCCCCCCTTTCTCCCTCCCCCACGTTCTCTCACCAAAATGTGCTTCAGAAATGCACACTGCTTTAAAAAGATTATCCTTACACAAGTGGCTTTGCATTTCCTAAAATGCCATAAGAAAATGCAATATTGAGTACTGCATGGGGAAGAAATGTTTAAGTTTGTATAATACTAGTACATTTCAGCTTGCAAGTTACTGAACACAATAATGCTGTTTTAGTTTTCTTTTGCATCAGTTAAAATTCACAAGAAGATAATGTAGATAGAACAAATTGCAACAAGCAAAGAAAAAAACTTGAATGAAATGGATTTTACAGAAAGCTTTATAATTTTTGAATGCATTATTTATTTTTTGTGCCATGCATTTTTTCTCACCAAATGACCTTACCTGTAATAACAGTCTTGTTTGTCTGTTTACAACCATGTATTTATTGCAATGTACATACTGTAATGTTAATTGTAAATTATCAGTTCTTATTAAAACATCGTCTCATGATGGGATGGTGTTGACATATTTGGAAACTCTTGGTGAGAGAATGAATGGTGTGTATACATACTCCTTGTACATTTTTCTTTTCTCCTGTAATATAGTCTCGTCACCTTAGAGCTTGTTTATGAAAAGAGTCGAGAAAACTATAAAATACATAAAGATATATAAATTTAAATAACATAGCTGCAGGTCTTTGGTCCCAGGGCTGTGCCTTAACTTAAACCAATATTTTCTTTTTTGCTGCATTTCAAAATAAAGATAGAGCTAGGGCTGGGCAGTATATATCCAAGCTCTCAATTAAATTTCTGGCAATAGTTGGATTTGACAAAACCACAGACAATCTCTGCGAGATTCTCTAGCCCTTCTGAGATACAAACTCATAACGTACTCCTTGCCACTGAGCAGCACAGGATGTGTGAGGATTTATTAGCCAGCTGTGGGTCAGGAGCCACTTCCGGCAACCTTAGATTGTTTCTACTTTCAGATATTACTGGGGAAATATATTCTTGTCCAGTGAGTATAGAAAGTCTTTTTTTTTTTTTTTTTTTTTCTCTTTTATAGGAAAATGAACTTGTAGGTGAAAAACTTGTTTTGAAATTGGTGCCTATAGGTCACATCTTGATTAGTCATCCTGTTAGGTTAGGTAATATACTGTAGAAAAGGTCGTTATTTGAACCCTAGAATTTGGACTGAAATCAAATTTCTTTTAAATACCATGTTGTGTAGGATGCCATTTCACAGAGCATAAAGGATTCATTACTCTCCAGTTTGTGCAAAGTTTGTATCTATTTAGAATTTTTAACTTTGCACAGTGGCTCCTGGAAGTTATAATTCCTGGTGGACAGTATGGAAATCTGTTGCTGCTGGCTGCCCAGCCCTTTGAACATGTGACTTACCGGTGAAAGGAGATTGTTTTTCTAGGAAAAATGAACCTCCTTTATTTTGTTTTATTTTTTGACACAAACTGTAGATTTTAGCAGCCCTGGCCCAAAGGTATTTGATTACTTTTGTTTTAAATAGTACAAAGGGGACACTATAACTACAAAATACATCCTTACTGATTTTAGTTGTTTTTAAATTTTCTTTGGATATGTTTCAGAGCAGTAAATTGTGTGTGAGCATTACAAATGTTTCTTTTAGTGGTTTCTTAGCCTCTCTTACAGCCCATGGGGATAGTACTGTACATCAATCAATACCTTCATATGAAATTTTTATATGCAATGAAAATAAAAGCATGGGTTGATTCTGCCTATTTATGACCTGGTCTTTTACAAATAATAAAAAAATTCTTAGTATTAAATTGTAGTCTACACACTTTTCCGTAAGTAATGAAAATTGTTGAAATGAGGTAACATCATAAGTCTTTGTTCAGGTTTGTAACCAAATGAAGCCAATTTATGTTACCTGACCTTGCTACATGAAACATTTCCCAGAGTAATATATATGGCCTATAAGATAAAGCAGTGTTTTCTAAACAGATGCACGGGACCCTCGCGTGCTTAACTGTGCCACACCAGAATATTCAGTTACCATCCATACATTCTACAGTCATTTCCCAGGTACCTACTCTGCAAAATACAAGCTACACAGAACAGTCTGCTCTAAGGGAGTTTATAGTCTAGAGGAGAAGATGCATTAAACTATCCATTGCATGTGTCGTTACTACTGTGCTCAGTACAATAAAGAAACTCAGTGCTGAGACCAGGAAGGAACCTGAACACGACTTGTCCAGGCCAGACAAGCTTTTTCCGGAGGAAAGTGCTTTGGGCCAGAGATCTGAAGGACAGTAAGGAGCCATCAGGGGAAGAGTTGAAAGGCAGAAGAAAGGCGCCTAGACAGGAAACACTGTGAAATCCCTAATCCCAAATGATCTTGAAACTTCTAGAGAAATTGGCGGACAGCAACAGGGAGAGTCAGCAGGGCAGAGGGAAATGTGGGGCTATTTGTAATCATCATATGTGAAACAGCACCCTGCGCTGTGACTGTCTCCATAACCCACGTACTCTCTTTATAGCACCACAAATGGAAAGGAACAACTGGTTATCTCTCCCATCAGAACACAGCTCCATAAGAGCAAGGTCTTAGCATGCAGCTGTGTTTATAGCACTTAAAACTATACCTGGGACACAGTGACTACTTAATGTGCTTTCAGTATAGCTACCAAATTGGTAATGGTTATACAGTCATCCTGCAGTATCAATAGATGATTTGATTTAGGATGCCTCACTGATGACAAAAGCCAAAGGATACTCAAGTCCCTTTTTAACACGGTGCTTTATTTGCATATAACTTCTGTACATCCTCCAGTAATTGGCTTGGTACAATGTAAATGTTATGCAAATAGTTTTTGTACTGTATTGTTTAGAGAATAACAAGGTCTGTACCTGGTCAGTATAGTTTCTTTCCCTGTTTCCTAGCCATGGTTGGTTGGATCCACAGACGTACTCACTGATACAAAGACTGACTATAATTTAGTCTGATATTCCAGATACTTTGGGGTCTTGGAGTACTTTTTAACTTGATACCATTAGAAATATTCTAGGTTTTGTTTTTGAGCTGAGTAAATAGAATTTAAGAGTTTTCTACCTTATTGCTTAACCAAAAGATTTCCTATTCATGAATTTTTGTATGAATAACAATCCATTTTTCATGTTAAATGAAAGTAAAAAAATTCATAAATTTAATCCCCAGATAACATTCTGATCATAACCCCCAGAATAAGAGTAATTCAATAGAATGATCAACTTAGTCTCTTCATTATCTGCTTCTGTCCAAGTAAAGAACAAACACTCCAGGAAAAATGTCCAGTTTGTGCCTGGAAGGAAATTGTTGCCCTACACACAGTCTCCTTCCCTAAGGATCATGACCCCAAGTGAAATGATGAGACAAGGAAATGCCACCTTTTTTTCCCTTACATCTATCACATGTTAATTTAGACTAAACTGAGTGTGCTCAGCTTATCCAAGTTTAGATTTATAACCTAAACTTTTCCTCCAACACACATCAAAACACTCTACACAAAGAATCATCTTCCCTGAGGCCAGAGAGCACCAACCCCATTACGTTGTTTCAGCGAAATTGTCCCTGTGCTTTTTCTGCTGTCTGATCCCAGCACCATTTGCCCTGCAGCTCTTTTCATATCTACTAACACTATGATTTACCGTCAAACTCAGTGCAGTGAGTATAAACCTGAGTGTGAATTTGGGTGTACAGAAAATACTGCTTTATTTCCTCACAATCAATTTATTTGGACTCTGTCCCCTCCCATCTCTTGGGAATTCCCATCTGTTGTTTTGGGCAGTCCCCTGTCTGCAGTGTAACCATTCCGTTCAGATGAGCACCCAACTGCAGGCTGCATTGTTTTAGCTGCAGTGAATCCCTGCAATCCCTGGCTCTTCATTTATTTGTCAGGTATGTGGTTTATCACAGACAAATACTGATTCTGCTTGGAAGTCTTATTTCCGTAGGCCCATCAGACTCTCCAGGAAAAGAACCCATTCTTCTAGTATCTTCTTACTATCTCGAGATGGTTGGTGTATTTACGCTGCCCCTCAAACTTTCTATGTTGAAATTTGAACTCCAGCTCTCAGGAGACAGAGGCTTTTGGAAGATGCTCAGGGTGTAAAGGCAAAATCCTCACGAACAACATTAGTACCCTTGAAGAGGATCAGGAGAACTTATTTTTGTTGCAACATTGGATGGCATAGGTACAAAGTGTCATTTATTAATCACAAAATGAGCCCTCACCAGATGCCAAATTTGCCAAACCTTGACAGTAGCTTAGCCTCCAGATCTGTGAGAAATTTGTTATTCATAAATTACCCAGTTTATGGTATTATAGCACGCTGGGTGGAAAAAGACACACCTACCTAAATTAAGGGTTTAGAGATTTTTGCTAAGTGATAGACCACTTGCCTGGCAGCCTAGTATGCAAGGAGGCCCTGGTTTCTAGTAATCTTCTTTTTCCCTGCTATATTCTCTCATTCATTTGTTCTCATTCCCTCTCCAGCCCCTCATTTACTCCTTGCTGTTCAACATTAGGCTTTTAAAAAATGACTAGTTATGACTTCTGTCTATCTCTCATCTTCATTCTGCAAAATTCTGTTCTTACTTGAAATACGAAAAACAAAGATACAAGAATAGTTCAGTCTGTTAACCTTACACATCTGTTGTGCAACTTTCAGCTCCAAGTGTCCACTCATAACTTTAAAATAAATTGAAAAAATTGCCTTCAGGTGGAAGCTATCAGGCCCTTTTGTTGACTTCAGTATGAGGATGGAGCCATTCCCTACTGGTCTCTCTGCTCCACTTCTCTCCCTGATCCTTAGCTTTCACTCATTTCAATTCCAATATACAGTGCTTGAAAATCTTATAAAGTGAAACATTTGACCCCATATGACATTCCCCTGTGTATCCCTATCCCAATATCTGGTGTCATGATTGACTCCATTTTGCAGTGAACAAATAGTAGGTCTAGGAAGATCAGTTGTCTGGCTGAGGCATTCACTGGCTGAATTCCTAGACCAATCATTTACCAACTGCAGAACTCAAATCACCCTCTCTACAACCTATTTGTGTTGTGCCACTAACAAAGAATAAAACTGTGGAAATATTGCCTTTGACTGTTCATTACCAATGATATGATTTTATGATTTAAAGATGGATGACAGAATAGATGACATTCCCACATCCACTTAACTTGTCCACCCAGGCCCTGCATAGCCTTGCTGTGTTATCAGAATTCTCCACAGTGAGAAGACTTGCCATCAAAGTACAAAGATAAGAATCAACAAGAAAGTAAAGAGGTGAGATGGTATGTGCCTCCGCCCGGCGGGAAGCTCAGGAGATGCAGCAGGGCAGGTTTCATGAGACTCCTTGCACTGCAGACTGATGACGAAGGGGACGAAACAAGGCCAGCACGGATGGAGTGCCTGTTACCTCTGCAGGGCATGTAGCAGGGCATTTGCTACATACTTAAAAATCAGAAATGGCTTCAGAATCTGAATTTATAAACTTGTATTCTAAAAACTCTATTATCTTAGAGTAGCTTTTTCTATTCTTGTTTTGAGCCAACAAGCCAGCTGAAGGATACAGTGGCACACACCCACCACGTCCTAGTGCATGGAAGGAAGCGCTTTCATCATCAAGCTGAGTTAATTGGAGAACCAGTCTCTCACCTTGGGATTCTCAACAGTTCGCTCATTTTCTCCCTAGCACCAGTTTCTGTTTCTCACAGTCCTTTTACAGCGTCTAGGAAGAGAGAGAGACAAACATCCAGTCTGCTTTACCTCTGCTGCAGTGCGTCAGATTAATAGGCATAATACCCCTCTCCAACCCAGCAGAAGTCAAGGTCAAGGATGAGGAAGGAACCCAAGAATACTTGTGCAATCCAGACTGTTTGTCCACCACAGAAGACTGCTCAGAAGCAAGCCACTATTGGGAATCCTATGGAATTCTCTCACAGTCAAAGAATATCTTTGAAAACTTATATTTGTGAAACAGTTGCAGGGATTGGTGACAAATATCTAGGGGCTACACTAGGAAAGTTGAAAAACAAGGGTAAAACTAAGGAGAAATGGAAGCAAGTATAGGAAGGAGGAAGGTGGAGGCACAAATGAAGTGAACAGATACTTCTCAGAAGTACAAGTGACCAATAAGCATATGAAATCTGTGGTCATTAGAAAAATGCAAGTTGAAACACCAAGATTTTATCTTACACAGATAGAATGGCCATCATCAAGAAATCAAGTGCTAGCAAGGCTTCAGTGAAAACAGAACACTTCTACATTGTTGATGGGGATATAAATTAGCACAACCATTACAGAAATCAGTAAGGAGACTTATTAAACTAAAAATAGAAAATCCATTTCTATTCTACCTTCTGGGTATCTTCCATTAATAGCTAAGAAAATAATATTACAGCAATATATACATACCCATTATTCTTAATAGCTAAACCTTAGAAAGGGGCCTGTATGTCCATTATCAAATGAATGGATAAAGAAACTGTGGTATATATAGATAATGGAATACTAATTGGCTATAAAGAAGGATAAACTTGAGACATTTGCAGGGAAATAGAAATACCTTAAAATATATTAAGTAAAATAAATCAGATGCACAAGCTTAAGTATTGTATAGTTTCTCTCAGTTGAATATGCAAAGTATAAAAAATAGTAAAATAAAAGATTGTTAAGAGAAATTGTGGAGATCTTTTACAAATGAGAAAGGGTTTGAGACCAAGGAGGAGTG